TAACTTCAGACAAATAGTTACATCGTGTGCCATTTTATTTAATTCAAATCAAATCAAACCTCAGAACAAACTTTTGAAATGTTAAACAGTCAAGATTCAAACTCTGGTGTTTTGAATGGATCCGTGTGAGTTTGAGAGCGGTGGGGATCCCATCCAGCTGACCTTGATGGTATCTAGATGTTTGCTTTCCTGAGTTCATGTGCCTGGTTCCCACTTGGTCAACCCTGGGCTCCTTGAACTGACCCTGTCCTCTCTCCGAGGTTTCAAAAGAAAAGAAACCCAATCCTCCGGGGAGCGCGCTGACTAACAAGAAAACTGCTGGCCCGAATCTCTCAGAAGTGCTGTGTTTTCCCACTGGACCACTTTCAGCTTAATAAACATCTTAACTAGCCAGAGGTCCCACGGGAGCTGCTGGGAAATCCTCTGGGCAGCCAGAGCTCAAGAGCTGGCCCTTTATTACATCCAGGTGGCTGTTTAAAACATGCTGGCCGGCCATAAATGTCCAATAAAATGCAAGTGGCACCTCGGATGGTGGACAGGGTCAGTGCACCTGTCTGTGGATAAAAACTCAAGTCACCTCCACCCATGTCCCATCAGCTTGATGTCACACTCTGTGGCACCACAGTGCTGATGGAGAGATCAGTTAAGCGGCCAGCCGGGCCTCAGCTTTAATACTTCTAGAGGACAAAGGATATGGAAGTGCTGCTGGGTCAGCGCACTAATCTCTGTGGATGCTTCAGGCACGCTGGCTTCCTTCAGTCTTAGGAGAGGATTCATGCCTTGAATAGAAATGAAACAAAAATCCTGAGAAATAATCAAAAACACATTTCCTGTTTTTTGTTCAGAATGGAGATGAAGTAAAATACAAAATGAAAGTGAGAGAAAGAAGAAAACAAAAGATGCAAGAAAAAAAACCACGCATACCTGCGAGAGAGATTAAGACACAAAAACAAATTCAAATGTAACTCATGTTCTTAAAACCAAAACCTCTACATTTTATAATAATCGCTGATTTGATCATAATTCCTGAGCATGTGACTTATTCCACCGTCATTAATGAACCCTGAAGGTGAATTGGAAAGGATGTTGCTTCCAGAGCTTCCCAGATGTTTCTGACTGCTTCACACTCGAGTGAGCGGTGGCAGCGGCCTCTCTGCCTTCATGTGTCCAGCCTGATCGCTGTCCAAAGGCAGAGTTAATTGTCCCGCAGGTCTCCGAGAGACCTGCTCGCTGCACTGGGCCTTTGATCTGACTTGAAAGGAGTTAATTGATTTCTGTGTTCCAGGCGGCGTGAGAGGGGAGAGAGGGGGAGAAAAGGAAAAAAGATGCTAGCTGGTCATTTCACAACATGTGCCGAGTATCTGAAAGCTAGAGCGGAGAGGACGGGAGGGGACGGGGGCGAAGAGAGAGCGATCACCTCACACCCGACTCCATTCCTGCACAATTACAGTAATGTGAGTCACATGGGCCGGCTGCTGTGGCAGTGAGAGGGGAGGAGAGCTGCGGTGTGGGGGAGGAAACGGGACGGGGGGCTCCCCTGCTCTGGGACATCACTCATCTTACCTCTGGCTGAGGTAAGACAGGAATGATGTGAGACTCCCCTCTTGAGTGCAGCTCAGGGGCTTGTTAAGGTGGCGCTACGGTGAAGACCACACGTCTAACCCCTTATGAGGCTCTCCTACGCATGATGACATCATCAGGGAACAGAGAGGTAAGCAGTGGATTTTAAAATCAGGCTCTCTCAGCGTTAGGGTCAGGCATCGGCTTGTTTCTGTTGGTTCAGGATGAAAACTGGCAGACTTGATTTGTAGCATCACCTGCCTGAGAGTCCAGTCTGGGCTCCTCTTGACAGGCCTGCTGCCTTCACTCCTTCACCTCCCTCCGTCTCTGGTCACCTCGGCTCAGGGGGGAAGCAGGGCTGTCAGATGGAGAGTGGCAGACTAAGCCCGTCTTAACACAGCGCCTCAAACCACCTCATAAATACAGGCTTCCTTTTCCAATTTCCAAGCGGCCCATCTACCTCTGTCTACATGCTTACACACTGCTGCATGTCACAGAGCGGGGTGTGAGCTTAAAAATGACCACGAGACATCTGGTGGACTCACAGAGGGCGGGGCTTTGATGTGCTGATGTTCAACTTCAGCTGGAGTGACCCGGGAGCTAAAACTTGGTTTAGTCGATTAGACAGAAAAAAAAGTTTCATTATTTTAAAACCGACCGGGCGGGTGGGAAAAATACGTGAAACTCAATGTTTTTCATTTTAAAACTTTCCCATCATTTCATAATAGCACTTGTCATTTTATAAAACAAGACTTTTAAACTGCAGACAGGTCAGTTTAGTATTTGTAAGGATTTTCTTGGATTGAGATCAAATTGTGTTCTGGATCTGAGCTCAAAATTTCCATTTAGAGAAATTAAAAATCACACTTTACAATCACAATTTATACACATTTCAACAATGAAAGCCATCTCCTCTAAATAAAGACACACAGATGTAAGAATTGACACCAGTTTCAGGCTCTCAAACAGCTCTGACCTGCTGATGTCTGTGAAACAAAATTTTTATTGACAGAACAAATTTAATTTAAAAAAATCATAATAAAATGCCCAACTGAGATCTGTTATTTCATGTATAAGTCTGAGTTCAAAGTCAAGGAAAAATACCAGGCACTTTATTGCTGCTTTAAAAAACTGTATACTTGAGAGTCAGACTGATTCCTGATCAGCTGATTCCAATCACCAGCTGGTTTTTAATTCATAAAAAGTAAATTCACTGACAACAATAAAGAGCTTTGTGAGGAAACAGCGACAGAGTTTGGTTTATAATTTTCACATTTCTGAGGTTAAACTTTTATATTTATCTGCCGTTAAAAACCAGTGGCGTTAATGATTGGCTTTCAATTTGATCCTAAGTAGATCTCAAAATGAATTTTAGATTTTACAGCATTAAGAATCCCCAACTAGTCAAAAATTTAAGTTCTTAATCATTTTTAACAATGCGCTAATTTATTTATTTGCTCAAGCTTTTTATCAGCCTCCTGCTGAAATGTGTGTGTTTGTGTGTGTGTGTGTGTGTGTGTGTGTGTGTGTGTGTGTGTGTGTGTGTGTGTGTTTATTAACATTACTGCTATTGTTAATTATTAAGTGCCCTTACGGTTAGGGCCTATGGCCCAGGAGGTTCTGCTTAGTAATGCATCACATTCATATTAAACAGTTGTTAGTACTTCAATTAATTGTTTATTAATGCTTAATAATGCACTAGGTAATGCTAACATGACATGTGTATTTTCCATTGCGATGGGGGAAGTACATATCTAAATGAAAGCAAACAGTATTTTCATGTTGGAGTTAGACCTTACCAATGGATGGCCATTAGGGTCAAAATGGGACCACAACCTCCAGCACAATGACACATTTCATCTCAGTGAAGAGGTAATTATCTAAAATAACATTATTTATGAGTGGCAAAAGTTTTGTATGATAAATGACCCGCACTTGTATAGCGCCTCCCAGAGTGAGGACTCCATAGCGCTTTACACTACAGTGTATCATTCATCCATTTAAACACACATTCACAATCTGATGGTGATGAGCTACAATGTAGCCACAGCTGCCCTGGGGCACACTAACAGAGGCGAGGCTGCCGAGCGCATGCGCCACCGGTTCCTCCGACCACCACCAGCAAGCAACGTGGGTTAAGTGTCTTGCCCAAGGACACAACAGCAGAATTCTCTGTCCAGAGCCGGGATTGAACCTGCAACCTTCTGATTACTGGACAACCCGCTCAACCTATTGAGCTACTGCTGCCCCAACCGTCACGAATCATGGCGTCACCCAGAGATATGACCTGCTCCCATGTATTTTAGACCTGAATTTTATGGTCATTTGTTACAAAGTAAAAAAAGTAAAATATACACACCCATCCGCTTTGCACACTGTCTCTTTAACAACGGGACCCTTATTGTAGTTTTTTGTGTTTGCAGCTCACATCTGGAAGTCAGATGATCTCTATCAGAACTAGAATCTCAAATCTGGCACAAATTTTACCAAAATAAAATCAAACATAGTCTAACGGTTGTTCAAAGTTGTTGGCTCAAGCATTCATTACATTAAAGTATTCTGAGTTTTGCTTGTACTGTTTTAATTCAGTCTCCACATGGCAGACCGTATATATGCAGCACCTAAACAGCAGGAAGGAGGGCTGCTGAAGCTCGTCGTGTGCTTCAGGGCATCGCTGACACGAGTGTCACCTTCATGAAGGAGCATGAAAGCTTTTCTCTCTGCAGAGAATTCCTCCGATGCTCTGATTTTTGCTGCAGAACAGAGGAGCAAATGCTCAGAGGGCTGTCATCTGCCTCACGCTTCATTAAACACCTGTGCAAATCAAAAACTAATAGGAGCTTCGGTCAAAAAATAAATAAACCTGCATTGCTGGAAGAATCTCAGACAGTCAAAACTAGCAGGAAGGTTTCATCATTCAGCTGCTAATTAAACATAACATGCATAAAATGTAACACCTACATGTTACAAGTTACTAAAATGTTTGTGCTTTTGGGACTGCAGCAATCCTCCACTCCAGGTCAAAGAAATCCACTTCAAAGAACATTTTCCTTCATCTTTCTTGCTGCAGATTGCACAAATATTTTCTCAGCTGAATCTTGTAATCATGCTAAAGAGCTGACTCAGAGCAGGAGTTACTGTTGACATGTCTGAGGTAAACGCACCCTCGTCTCAGGGCTCTGCTCATCCTTCCTTCACGATGCTCATCATCAGCTTTGTGAAGGAACAGCGCTTCTTCTGGAGAACGAACATCCTCTGGAGCTGCTCCCTGACTGCTTCTCTCTGTCAGCACAGGTGCTGTAGCTCTGTGAAGTGAAACGTGAGCCACGGCTCACTTTAATTATTAATCTAGTGAGGAATCCCTGCTAAAATACAGTAAATCCAAAGTGACATATTACCTTCACTGGGCATGAACATTTACAAAATGAGGCAAAGCAACA